TGAAATCAGAGCCATTGAACTTCGGCGATCCCTTACCTTGGGAGGGAGCAACTACAATCGGGTAAATGGATAAAAAGTCGGTGTAGCAGTCGGTTGATCACTTGAAGATTACGTTTGGTTTCCTTCGTTTGTCATCTATGAACTCACAAAAATTTCATAAAGCATTTGCAGGTAAAATTTTAGTTTATGTGATTTGTAAATACCAAGAAGATACTTAAGAAGAATGAAGAAAACAAAAATAAAATCAAAGTCGAGGCACGTAATAGTCACGTTCTCCTTAAGAAGAAGTTGTCCCGTAAAATACCACGGTTAATAAAAAACACCTTCAAGATACGACTTTTGACTTGTATATAGCGGTACTTCAAATATACAAGCATTTGGCAAAGAATACTATTGTTTGGAACTCTCAAGACTCATCAAAAAAATTAAAGAACACAATATGTTAGACGATCTTTTAAAAATAATGCAAAAGCTCTTAATTTTCAAGTTATGAATGATTTCATGTATGTGAGTATTTATATATATATAGGAAAACACCTCTAAGAGGTTTAAGTGCTAAAAGACACCTTCTTGGATGTACCTCAACGAGAGCGGACGCATCTAGAGGCCAAAAGATGCCTTATGGTCACTAAGAGTCACGACTTTTCGCTGGCCGTGGCCAGATGCACGTGTGTGAGCCGCGGGCTCGTAAGATCTCATCCGAACTCGGTATGAAGTTTCATTTTTTCTACTCGTATCCGACGAACCTTTCTAGAGTTTTGTCATGCAAACTGCTTCATCAGGTCTCTTTTGAATTATCTTAAAATTCGTTAAAGACATAATGTTTTGCGAATTCAATAATTTGAGTTACTTAAACTCTATTGTTTCAACCTTACATTTCCCACACATCCAACTTAGAGTAAAATTTTCATTCACCTTAGAATGATTTTGAAAATTTTCTAAATATTTTACTTATAAAAAATAGTAACCATTAATTGTTTATAAATTCATTTAGTTTTTAACTGTTTTTTCTAACTATAGTTAATTTTAAAAAAAAAAATTGGTATGGTTAGTTGTTAGTGGATATATTAAAATAATATTTAAAATAAAATAATTAAAGTTGATATGATGTAAAAGTAAGAGAAAAATGATTGGAGGTGATAGTTAGTTAAAATTATGTGAGTAGATGATAGTGAATTAAAGTTGATGTGATGTATAAAAATGATGGATTGAATGATTGGTGGATATTATTTAATTATACAAAAAATTTATGGAGCCATCGATTAGTTAATGTATTGATACTTGTCGAAAGTGTATTTATTGTAGGACACGTGTCAATACACTATTTGTGAATAACTATGGATGACTCTATAAGCCGAACCATCCTGACTCCATAGTAAAATTGTTTAATTATATTGATAATATTAAAGATAGTGAGTGAAATTAAAACTAAATTATATTTAAATTTTGATTAATTTTTTTGGATTGGATTTATAAACAATCAGCACCCTAATTTTCATTGAAGTTCATAACTAACCAGAATTTGATTTCTTCATATTCCGCACCTTGGGTTTGCCGAATTTGTACTGCACACCGTCGGCCACTTTCACGTGGATTAAAGTTTCAATAACTATTAATAATTATGTAAAATTTTATCTGATGCAGCGGTATTAGCCTACTAGTGGTATTAGCCGACCAGATGTAAAAATTTTACTTTATGATATGGTATTTTTTTTTTTCCCCAATGATATAAGATACTCCCTCCTATTTTTTTTAAATGTCATTCTAGTTTTATCAACTATTAACTAAATAAATGTCGTTTTGGATCTTTTGTACATATTTTTCCATTATTACCCTCATTTAACTAATAAATACATTACGTCTTTTCATATTCTCTCTTCACTTTTTCTCAAAACATTAATCTCTATCTTCATTAAATAAGGTTATTATTGACAAAAAAAATATTCTTAATAAATGTACAACATCCCAAAACGACATCTATTTAAAATAAGAGGTACTATATAAAACAAAAAACACAAAAGTGCAAATATACAGTAGCCAACGGCTGAATACATCGCAGCCAACAGCTAAAAAAAGATATGATATTTTGATTATTTTGATTTAATTAATATTTTTATCAGAATTGTCATTGAAAACAATTTTATCTCAGAATGAAGTTTTATCTAACTCAAATTAGATCATATATAATATCAACTAATACGTACCCCGTGCGATGCACGAGACAGAGATATTAAATGAGTTATTTCACAGTCTTTTCAGTTTAAGTCTCAGTCTTTTCAGTTTAAGTCTAAGAAGTAAAAGAGTTATTATATATTTTCTACCTCTTTTAATCAACATTAAGCCAAAAACAATAGAGTTATAAGCGTTTTTCTACATCTTTTAACCAACGTTGTTTTTTTTAGCCAGAACATTAAAACATGTTGGGGCTAGTTTGTAAACTAATTAATATATTATCTCACTACAACATTTATGATAATAAAAATTTAATTTTAGCATATAAATTTATTCATTGATATAAGAGAAGTAACAATTTTACTTATTTTGTTCACCATATAATATTTAATTATTACTTTATTATATAATAAAAAAGAATACTGTTAAATAGTGTAGTTGAATTGTTATAAAATTATATGATATTTTTTTTACAATATGGATTTAATATTCTTTATGATTTGATAATATAACTATAATATATTTTTAATGATATAATGGTTTACTTAGTATCGCTAGAATGCTGACAAATAGAAAAAAGAACTATTAGATGCAGCCAACATTCTGCTATAAGATAAGGTTTTCTCGTTATGATGATGTTTTTTTATCCATCATGTTCTTCTACATATCTATTAGATTAAAAAATTAGATGCAACCAACATTCTGCTATAAAATAAAGGTTTTCTCGGAGCGAGATGCATGTCACATGTCATCTAAACTTTTTAATATTTTGTTTTTTTTTAGTTTGTTACTTTTAATTATCACAAATTTAACCGTGTGGATTGACTTACAACATACTCTACGTTCAATTTTACAACATACTCTACATTCAATTAATATTGATTTTTATTTGCTAATGATTTATAAAGTTTGATTATTAATTTGACCAAACATTTTGGTTATTGATTTATAAAGTTTGATTATTATTTTGACCAAACATGAAAGATGAACTTGTTGATAATGTTGTTAATCTAAACAAATATAAAAGTTTTTCATATTATTTTTTAGTCTTTATCAGTTTATAACGTTTTATCAGTGTGAGAAACATTTTCATGATTTTTTATTTATTTCACGATTTGTTGATTCATTACAGCTTTAAATAATCTATGAAAATAATTAAGCCGTCTTCTGACAAATATGTACGGGGTTGTGTGTTCGTGTATCATAAATCGCAAACATAATGAATAACATTATAAATTATTCATTCAAACTTTTATTCATTACAAATATATTAAACTAGTTTATATAACAACCATTAAATACCATTAAATATAAATACAATTAAATAATACTACCAATCAATCATATAACACTACTATATTTAACAAAATCCACTATTCATCAATTTTATACTTTTAACACCAATTATTTACAATTATTATTTTACTATTTTAAAATCACATCAATTTTAATAAATCATAATTCAACTTAAAAAACTTACTTGGAATTTGATAGTTTTCATTTAAATTAAACTAAAGATTTATGAAAGTATCGTCAATCAATGCAAATTGGGACTGTGAAGCCCCATACTTCTTCTTTTTTTTTTTTTGAATCGGTTGTGAAGCCCCATACTTTTGTTTTCTCCAACACTGACTGACATTTATTACTGCCTATCCACTTTATCCTCTGCAATTTGCTAACAGTATAAAAAATACACAAAGGCAGTTTTTCTTGTTCCATACCGCCTTTATTTATTCACTCTTGTTTATTAATTTGTTCAAATTTCAAGAAAGAGGATATTAATATTAAAACGAATTACAAAGTGGCCTTATTTCTCATGTTGAAGTGGAAGGAGGTAGATATATAGTGGAGTAGAGAATGAGGAAGGATGTAATTTTCTGTACCCATCACTCTCTCTCTCTCTCTCTCTCTCTCTCTCTAAAAAGCAAAGCAATGATCTGTTGTAGCCTTTGGGGTCTACAATTTGCTCCAAGATAATGTCATTTTTTGGGTTAGTTGCTCTCAAGTCTTAAACTACAACCTTCAACTCAACAACTCGGCTCATAATCTCCAAGAATCAATCTTTGTGCATTTGGGCTCATCTCCTTTGGCATGTTCATCTTCAGCCCATGTTAGATCTGTGTATTTTATTAGTCAAATTTCTGCTTCTGAAGGGAACTTATTGAATCTTACCCTTTGTTCTCCCAATTTTTCTTGCTATAAATAATAATTTATTATCTCCATCATTTGATTGCTTGCATAAGCGCATATTTTTTTGGTAGCTTTATCTCAAGAATCTTGGATACGTGTCTTCGGATAATCCCACGATTTTGGGTTTTGGTGGGCAATTAGAAGCCATTATTGATCTTCAAGATCTGGAAGATCTCTTTTCTCTTTTTCGGCTCTTTTTTTTTTTTATTCTGTTTCACAAAGGGGGCTGATCAGAACAAGTGTATAAATAAAGGACTTGACTTTCTCTTTCGCACTGTTTCATATTTATTCGCTTCACTCTTAGCTCATTGCTTTTCGTAATTGGTCGCCTATTCTTCATTTTTTTACTTTTTTTTTTCTATAATAATTTTTCCCCTATAAATTTAATAATACACCCCCACCACACACATACTATGTGTCCATCTCAGGAAGTCCACAGCACCTATTTTCAAATGCTTCTGTTCTTGATCACTTGCTCTCTCTCTCTAATCCTTTTTTACAAGTCTCTCCCTCTCAAGCCACTCCCCTCGTGGGCTTGTGAGGTGAGATTTCTTTTCCTATGGTTTTGGAAAGATCTCTCCTTTTTCCTGGAAAGTATCTTGTTGGGTGTGCTAAATGTCTCGTCTTTTTCTTCTAAAATGTCGATCAAGAAGAAAACTTTATCCCCCAAAGTTGAGAGTGTTGAGGTGAGCCATGAGATGTCGGTTTTGGATTTACCCGACCTCGTATTGGAGAGCATTCTCGAAAGGCTTCCTCCGAATGAGCTGTTTAAGGTGGCTAATGTGTGTAGTGTTCTCAGATGCAAGTGTTTGAGTGATCACTTGTGGGAAATGCATATAATGAACAAATGGGGTCGAGCCATAGGCCCGGCTGCTTATAAGGAGTGGCGTCGCCAAATTGTTTCGAGGAAAGGTTCGATTTTTTCCGGCCACGGCAAGAATAAGGGACAAATGGTGGGGTATTATAATTTAGTTGATTTGTGGCCACTTGAGTTGATTAGATCTAGTTTTAGCAATATTTTTAAGAAGAACAATTTTCCTCCGGCCGAGTCGATGATGTCTTGTTATCTCGCGATCGAGTCGGGCAATTTCTGGTTTCCCGCGCAGGTGTATAATCGCGAGGTATTGTTTGGTTGTTATGGATATATTTTAGCCTGCTGTTTTCGGTAACATAGTTTTGCTTTTCTTTTGGGTTTTTGGACAAATTTGGTTGTATTCATGTGTTCTGTTGGGTGATGATTTGCAGAATGGTCATGTTGGATTTATGCTATCTTGTTATGATGCTATGGTCAGCTATGATCGACGAACCAATACTTTCCAAGCCAGGTGATTTGACTAAAATTCTTCACTTATACAACTATTTCTTTATTATAATACTTGACTCCTTTTTCTCCATGGTAGGTGTACACTTTTAGCTGTGTTTGTGTTTGTAATCAACTGTACTCGAGTAGTTTACTTTGTTTAGGCTAAACCTTACGGGCGTTTTTTGTAATTATTCCATATTTTTATTCTCGGTAGTCGAATTTTCACTGGCGGTTTGATCATATTTGAAACTGAATCTTGATCATGTGTGCTTAAGTTATAATACATCATCAACATCACATCAACATACCCAGTATATAATCCTGATTTAATTTCCAAAATGATCTTATATCATGTCAAAGAGATCCACCTTGAACATTCTTTGGTTTTTCCAATTATGGGCAGATATCCTGAACATGGAACAAGACCAACTACAGTAGAGACCGGTGTTACTTTGGACAGGCTTAGAGCTAAACCCGTGGATACGAGTTCACATGATCTTTATCTCTCTACTCGTTTGGATGAGTTAAAACCAGGTGATCACATCGAAATCCAGTGGAGGCGTAACAGAGAATTCCCTTACGGTATTTTTCGAAAAATCAAACTAGATCTTTTTATTCACTGAGTATAGAATTATGAATGTCTGTTGCACTATTTGAATTTGTAGTTGTTATTATTCATATTAAATTTTTAATGTTCGAGCTGTGGCCCTTTTCGTCGCATCTACAAGGGTTTGTAGGTGTGTCACGAATTAGCTGTAATACATTATTCCTTACCAAACAACTTCAAGAAGACATGGGAAAGAGAACATAATTTTATTCTTAATTAAGTTGGCCTTAATTGACTTCTATCCAATGATAATATCATGTTTGCTTATTTGATGAAGGTTGGTCAACCTTTACTGTATGGATGTGCTATTATGAATTGTAGTTAGCTTTATTTTGACCAATTGTATTATAAAACACACTAATTTTTTAATCCATTAAGTAATGTATATTACATTTCTTGTGTAGGTTGGTGGTACGGTGTCGTTGGTCATTTGGAAACATGTGATGGGAGTGCCGGTTACTGCCGATGTCACGATAGAGGTGAGTTTGCTCGAAGTTCTACCTGAAAAGGAGAAAAACATAAACATCGCCGTTTCTTATTTACAAATTTTAGGGAGTGTGTAGTTGAACAGTTCAAAATTTTTTCATCAAACTCGCGCGTAAGAAAGTGTTTAGTATTTTCAGTAGCAAACTCATTCATCAAGGTGACATTATTTGAATCAAAGCATATAATCATGAGATGACTGTTTTCATTCTGATTCTTCTTCTGTTTTAACTTCTTTGCACAATTTAACACAATAATTTAAATTCAAAAAAATTGAGAGGTTTTATGTAGACATTTGTTTTGATATTTTCTGTAGCTTTTACGGTGAAAGCATTATTGTTTACTTCAAATCTTCACGGTAGGCCCTTCGATGATCCCCATTTTTCGACATGTCTTGTCTTGCTTTATGCTTAATTGGAACACCACTTAATATTTTTTTTTTCTCTCGACATTGCACAAAGTGCTGTCTCGGTGGGACATTTATGGCTAGCCAAAGTTGAAAGGAACCTACTCCTTTTCATTTGTTTATTCATTATAAAAAATGTTGTGGAGATTGAATGTTTCTGCTTCTTATTCTCACACTGTCGATATTGCATTCTGAAATCACGCATGTGTCTATTTTCCACACACTTCTTGATATCGCCCTTTGATAGTGTTTTTTCATGTTTATGTTATTATTATTACTATCATTTTTTTTTTGTTTGTCTTGTACGTTTCTTATGCACTTCTCAAGCTTCATACTATTGTTAGTCAACATGATGTCTGTTTTATAATCATAGAGGCCTTGACGGGAATCTTTTCCCCTTTTCATTTATTTGAACTTCTTGAGATACACATTCAAAATGTCGAAAAATGGGTTTGCAGACACTCTTGTGCTCGAATTCAACCAGTATGCTCAAGGGTCCCGGTGGAGGAGGACACTTGTCAACAGGAAGGACCACAGGGAAAAGGGTAATGATGTCGACGGCTTTTATGGTGGGATCCGGAAGCTCTATGGGAATGAAGAGATTCTCAAGTGGAAAAAGCTTTGGCCGGCAGAAGTTTTCGAATAGGTCACAATAACGATTTTCTGGTTATACGTATTTTGGTTAGAAGCTGAACCGGAATTCCAGGACAAGATCCTTGCAAGACGGGTTTCTTGAGAAGCACGAATATTGTTTGGCTTTTAGCTTAATGCTGCAGATTAAGAGTGCAGCATTAAGCTGTGAAGATAAATATTGGCAGGAGTTGTGTATTTTACCTCCATTGAGACTTGAGTCCTAAAGATGAAATGTGGTATTGGCACCTGTGTAAAGAATAGCCTTCTTTACAAACACTATGAAAACAACGAGTGATTGCTGGTTGAAAATAAATAAATTATGAAGTGTAACGGGAGAGCAAACTTTTGCGCAGAAATAACTTTCATGTAAGAATATAAAATAAAATATAGTGGAAGCACGAAAATTTTTCTCATAAATCTACCAATCTTATACTCCCTTCCACAACTATTTTTTTTTGGCAAAATTTGTGTACTTAGAAGCTTCTATTGAATTCCTCATACGCTAGAGAACCACTTATCCCAAGTGTTCAACAATTATATAAGAAAACTAGGCTCCAAAAGTATAATTCAATGACCTATGTACTCTCAACTTGTTTTCCTCTCCGAGAATATAATATAAAAGCTTCCCTCACCAGGTTGCTATTCGTGATCATATATGTAACGCCCCATTTTTATTTGACGAAAGTCAAGGATTTTTTCAAAAAGTCAACGGAAATTTTTCGAAATTCTTTTCATAAATCGTTTGGAGTTACTTGACAAATAATCACATTCACGAATTTTTACATATCAATTACTCACAAGTAATTTAAACATCATTGAATATCCAGAGTCAAATCGAAACCACCCTCACAGGGTTTTAAACAAGGTTTCGAAATCGATTATTAGCAAACGGGGCATCTCCCCAAACCAGCGTTTGAATTTCTCAAATCATAAATAATCCAGAGTCAAAATCATGCAAATGAAACCCAAGGTTTAAATGCAACATAAATCCCGAGTTCAACCTGATGACAAAAAATAATCATAACATATAGCAAAGTAGAAGCTACGTAATGAGGTCTGGTCAAACGATTGACCACCACTCGTCTCTCGCCGCCTGCAGCCGCCATCTCAACCTGCATCCAAGAAGAGCAGGTGGGGATGAGCACAGATGAAAACCGTTGTGCTCACCGCTATGCAATGAACAATATATACAATAATATAACAGTAATCAATAATATATATGGTATGGTCGCAGCATGTATACAAATCAATCAACTATCCCATCTCCTATCCCAGAGTTCTTACTCGTGTGCACACCTAACATAGACTACTAAATGGCCTTACAATGAATGCCCCTCAATGTGGTCTTACATTGAATCCCATACTAGTAGGAGTAAATGTCGAATGCCCCTCAATGTGGCCTTACAACGACACTGTACCGAATGCCTCTCAATGTGGCCTTACAACGATACCATACCGAATGCCCTCAATGTGGCCTTACAACGATATGAGGAGACTGCCTATACAAGACACAACCTCGTAGTCGGATAACCATTCGACGGCCGATACAGCTCACATCGAAGGATACATGGTTCACATGCATACAGTGATCATACCAACATACAACAATAATCATTTACGACATATAAATTTAGAATAACCCACCTGATCGAAATGCTCGGCTTTAGCTTGAACTTGAAAAAGAGTGAGGCTCGATTCCTCGAAAACTACAATTCGATGGGACATGTCATAGAATCTTATCAATACTTAACTTACACTCACTAGTCTTATACATATACATAAGCTTTTAAAACTAACTCGCTTGGCTTTGCCTTGCTCGCCTTGCTTTGAAAACATTTTATGTATAAGTCTTTTCGGTTGGTGGATATCTTGGCTTGCTTAATTTTTAGCACTTAGGACATTGAAGGATCATATAAACATCACACTGCATGACGTGGTTCAGTTATGCCACATAAACATGCTTTTAAACAATACAACTCAAATTAGAAACATAACATGAACTTGCAACAATTTTCAGCATGCACGATGAATTTAAATGCCTGTAGTTTTCAGTCTACAAATCATATCAAGATGAAACCACTTTAAAAATATCCCTAACTCATGTCTTTTTCACTTTCATGAAGAAAAAACAAGGAGATAAAATCATTTAAATGCACATAATTCAGCAAACATCCATAACATATGTGCAGTGGATAAATTAAGACATACAGCTTGAAAGGTCCTCAGTTTTTCCAAGATACCAGGAGCTACAAGCATGCTATTCAGGCGATTCTAAAACCAATGAGTAGCTAACACATATATCCATAACTTTTATGTTGATCACTTAAGCCAATAATAACTTTAAAACCGTGTTTCAGCATAAAATATTTAGGTCAAGAAATCTGTCAGCAATACTATTTATCAATTTACAGCACATCATTAAAACAACAATAACTCAAGTTATAGAACTCCAAATCATACAAACTCAAAACCTACAAAAACTACACAAGGAAAGCTACAAATCTCAAGAAGAGCATTTTTACAAATAATCACGTTAAAGGCATCCTTTCATAGCATACATTCTGAGCATATACACAGTCACTGCTTCAAAATTTCTGGGCATAAATTCAACTATGAAAAATCATATAAAATCAACCAAAACTCCAAATTGCAAGACTTCAACTCTTAATGAAAGCTTATAACATGTACTACAAGTTTTCTATGATCACATTTTCACATAGAAACATTAGGATCATCAAAATCAGCCCAACATCATATTCTACAAACCTGCCCGGATTTATAAAAACAGCATGCATGTAAAACTTTCAAAATTCACAACAAATTCAAATCAACTCTAAATTGCATGAATCCAACTCTCACAGGAAGCTTACAACATGTACTACATTTTTTATGAAGAATACATTTTCATTCAACACGTTAATATCATAAAAAACAACCATGAAATAAGGTCAAAATCTCTGTCCAAGTTTATAAAAACTGCCTGCCTGTCTGCCTTTGAAAATTCATATAATATACATTTCAAATCCAAATCACAAGATTCTAAAGTTCACTGAAACCTAACTCAAAGCAATACAAAACTCAAGAAGAACACTTACCCAAGAAACAGTTTCTTGATCGAAAAAAAAGAGCACAATTGAGGCTCGAAATTTGGGTGTTCATGCCTTTAACAACTCAAAACATTCGTCCAACAACATAGCCTCGAATCCATGTAATTTACACGTTAAGCAAGCCTCGATATCACTGCTTTAAGACTTGAACATCTGATATATTGAAAAACACGTTGTCCGAGGTCCATCTCGATCTTATTGAACACGATAGAACAATAAAATCTTATGGTTTTTCACTTCAATGATTACATATTTTGATTTGATAATAATGAATAACAAATAAATTCAGCCCGGGCTCGAAAGAATACCGTTCTCGGGACACGATACGCTAAACGAGCAAGGAATAGGCCTGAACGGGGCTTAAACGGCTGCCCGTGCGCTCCGACGGGACTCAACTGTAACACCCCACCTTACTGTAAAATCAGAGTTGCGCAATAATTCGCAAAGTCTTTGAAAAAAATAAGACATTTTTACTTTGCGAAACTGATTTGGGGTGTTACCGTGAAAAATCGTTACTTAACTTAGAAAAACCGTTGTTTTAATTTAATAAAAACGTCCGGTTACTGAAACTTTATTTTCTGAAAAGTTCATCAAAATACGATGAGTTCGACGAAATATATCTAAACATCATCATAAGTCATCAAAAGTCAAGCGGAAGCGTAAGTCATAGTTATACAG